CTCTGCAGAAATGGTCAACCCTACGCTTCCTTTCTTTCAGGAAATCTGTTTGTTTGTTTTATTGGATAGCATTGGGATTTTTCACTCTCAGAAAAGTAGGCTATTGCATTGATGATAGCAATTAAGATCATTCTACAGTCATTTAGGATTATTGTTGTGGAGTAATTTATTCCTTGGGAGTAAATCACTCATGATATATACATACATGCACAAACACATACACACACAGGTGCACACATGTGTGCACATGAATAAACACTCCAGAACCCCAGGATCTCATTCAGTTCTCTGGAAGTGGTACTCTATAAAATTGTACCCTGAAGTCTTCAAGAATTAATTTGTTTTCAACAGGTGAACAATTTCCTTCCAGAGTCTACTTTTTTCTCCTACACTTGTCATATTATTTGTGGTACATTATAACTTCTTCTGGGCCCAGGTCATGGACCCTGAAGCTGGAGACCATTCTGTAGTGAAGCATTCTGATAATCTCCTGATTCCCAATTCCACTGAACTGGGAACAGTGCTAAGGAGAGCTTCCAGTGTAGTTGATATCATGGGCTAGCTCTTTATGAAACACTTAACAGTAAAATGTGGTCCTCTACTTACTCCTTTCTTTACCTATATAGTAACTATCATTTGACAATTGAGACAAAATATGCATAATGTGGATTTAAAGTGTTTACAAACTTTAGTTATCACCATTATTATAATTATTGCTTTATACAGAAAAGGGGCACATATCAGATGATTTAATCCAAAGCTACCTTGAAGACTGAAAACTCACAGCTATTTTCTTACTTTATGGTTGTTGTTTAATTCTTAGAGAAACTTTTTTCCTTGGATTAATTTACAGCAATATCTTAACGGGAACCCAATTAATTAGTCTTCTCAATTAACCAAAACAAAGAGAATCCTCAAATAATAGGCTTTATCACTGTTGTCTTATAAGAAAAACAAGCGGGGGGGGGGGGAACCCCTTCATGGCTTAAACAGAGCTGTTACCCTGTTCACTCCAGTACCTCTGTATCTAAAGTTCTATCCTACGGGCAGTGATGTTCCTAGTGACCTTGAGCCACTTTAAGAACCTGAGTCATCTGAGAAAGGTCATCTTGTCAACTGCATTCAACATATAATGACAGAATTTTCAACAACCAAATATTGTGATTAGCGAGAGCCTCCTTCATCATCTCTACCCTTGTTCTCTTACATCTAGGCCAGTGAGACCTTAAGAGCTTCAAGGTCAGAAAAACTTATCTTTATTCTCCTTTATGCTTCCGGCCTCTAAAATATGTTGAGTAACAATGAATAGGTATTTGTTAAACTGAGTGGAACTTGTCAACAACCACAGAAACCAGCACTTTGGGTTCTACCCTCTTCTGCATCAGTTAACTGTGCATGAGAGCCGGGTGTCTTTACTCTGAGCACTCCGTCCTTCCTAGAGCTCAGAGTGAGCCTGCCTCTGGATGACTTTTACCGTCATTTTACCTGTACTATTAGCTAGGAAGGACTTTTTGAGAGCGGTCTAAGAGCCTAATTATTATTTAAAATTACAACAGCTAACATTTAATGAGAACTTTATGCCAGACCCTGTGTTAAGAAAAGAAACCACCTCTAAGAGATGAGTAGTGTCATCCCCTCTTTGCAGGTGAGCAGATTGAAGCTGAGAGGTTAATTTAAGGTCACAGTGCTAACAGTATGTTTCATCAGTAGTAATATATATATTTGAAGATCTTTGCAGTGGATGTATATCTTAAGGTCAGTGAGGTTTCAGCCTTTGTTAGCCTGCAGACGGCAGTTATGAGAGGATGACACTGTCTTTGCCTGGACACAGCTGCTCATCAGATGCACAGATGTCATTACATCGCTCACTTCCTTTATGTGCATCCCTGGTACCCTGTATCTTGAGTTTAGTGGCAAATAGGCTGGTTTTGAAAATAGAGTAAACATTTGAGCCAAGCATGCTGTCTCTTTTTCCTCCATAATTCTTATAAATTACACTCTCGGCACAGAAGAAAAATTACTCACTGTGAAAATCAGACAGGCCTCTTTTTTTTAATCCTTACCTGAGGATATGTTGCCTCCGGTACACTCCTGGACTGGGGATCAAACCCACAGCGTGGCTATGTGTCCTGACTGGGAATTGAAACTGTGACCCTTCAGTTCATGGGACATGGCTCCAACCAACTGAGCCACAGCAGCCAGGGAAGACAGGCCTCTTGACCGAGCAGTGGAGTGCTGTTTGACATTAGTGAAGCAAATATTGATCACTGGAGAAAGAACTTCAATTTAGTATCTCCTCACAGGGAAACAATCAGTTGCTTAGAAAGAGAGACATCAACAGAAAGATGAGGATGTGTTTGTGTTGTGTTATTGAGATAGGTGCACAGCAAAGGAATTACCTGTTACATATGAAGCAATGCAATAAAGGCAGGAGATTGCCACATCTTTTTGAATAGGTAAAAGAAACGTCAAAGCAACCAGAGGCTGCTGTGCATGATTCATGGATATCTAAAGACTGTTAAGGCATCATGTCATCATTTAAACACAAGTGCTTTTGCCTTGTAATAAAATAATGGTGTATTTTAACAATCATTGAAGTCTTGGGTTGGATGAAATCCGTTAAGTGGCACATCCAGTTTTTAACTCAAGCAGCGTAGCTCTGGAGATTTCACGCATATCCACTATCCTCCAGGCTTTTTATCTTCATAGGAAGACATTTTCAGGGTTTAAAGGGTTTTACAAATCAATTTTTTAGCACATAGCTTGGTTGATAGTGAGTTGATGGCATCTTTACTGAATGTTTAGTGTCATATTTAAAGGAGAACCTTCCTCAACTCCCAGTGTCTCATGACTTGAATTCAAATCCACTTTGTTAGCTGTTTCATAATTGATTACCAGACAGCATGTTGTACTATGTTTTATTTCTTGACTTCCTAACAAGGAATTCAGGAAATGGTTCCTATCATCAAGATAATTATTTGGGGTTGGTGGAGGTCCAGTAAGTTGTGTCTTTCTCTCTAGTTCTGACCTAATTGAGAGATCCACACAGGTGCCAGGCAAATAGGGATCACATTAGAAATCATGATAAATACTTGTTCAGAAGACACAGTATGGACAGCAGTCCATAGTAGGATGGCGAATAGTTCATCCCTGGATTTCCACCTGGTACAGTGCCACAGCTCAACAACTGAAGGGGCAGGGTCCTTACCATCATGTGGTTTTCCAATCTCCTTTTCCAATCTTCATTTAGTTGAATCATACCCATAGTGTCTTTGCCTCGTTGCCTTTCACTTCATTTAAGCTCTGCGAGAACAGTCGAGGCTGCTGTTGCATCCCAGGGGAGCATTTTACTCAGAGGAAGAACCCGAGATTGCCCCTGTGTAGACTTATCTTCTCAGACCTTTCGATGAGACTTTTCAAAGGACCTTCGATAGAAGTCAACACTCTGATCAACCTTCTGAATCTTGGCAAATTTCTGCATATTTTATAAATGTTTGCATGTTATCAACCTGCGGGTCTGAGTTTCTCCAGTAGATTTTCATCATGTTGGTATAAATCTCTGTATTCTGGGTCTAACTTTTCATTTTCAAAATATCTGTGATAAACCATGATTACTTTTTGAAATTATTCAGTTGTATCTAATTGCCTCCTCATAGGTAGCATGCTAATGGATGCATTTCATCTATTTTGCATATATTTAAATTTTATTTTTGTATGTATGTCTAGCTAACATAGTGCTGAAAATGTAGTAGATACATAATAAAGACCTATCGACTTGTTAATTACGTCAGTAGTGAATCTCAAAGGAAACAGTAGGCTTTCAGATTATAATTCCATTTGTTTTCATTGCTTTATTCTCAACACTAGACTGGTGAGAATTTACTACTGTTTGTAGGATAAACTACTTACACTGCAGATGAACTTAGGCCTAGTATTCCTTTACCCCTGGGAAATAAAAAATGTGCAGCCTTCTTGTAATCACTCTGAATTTTAAACTCCATATTGTGTATCTAGTCACCGACTTTGTGGGGGTGAGAAGGGGCTGGACTTGGAGGATATTGGGGGAAATGTCATGCCTCCATTGTAGGGCAGGTATATGACTTGCTCCACTGACAAGGCGTCCATTTGGAGACTGAGAAACCAGAAGACACAGGCCCTGATGTGAGCAGATGGGAGCCACATGAGGGAGCAGATCACAGTTAGAAGTTTTGGGAGCTGTTCCATGGGCCTTTTTCCATTCCATCAAAATTCCCTTTTTTTTTTTTTTTTTTTTAAATATATTTTATTGATTTTTTACAGAGAGGAAGGGAGAGAGATAGAGAGTTAGAAACATAGATGAGAGAGAAACATCGATCAGCTGCCTCCTGCACATCTCCTACTGGGGATGTGCCTGCAAACCAGGTACATGCCCTTGACCGGAATCGAACCTGGGACCTTTCAGTCCGCAGGCCGACGCTCTATCCACTGAGCCAAACCGGTTTCGGCCAAAATTCCCTTTTCACTGAGGCTGGTCTCCTCGCTCTTTCCCTTCCTCACCTAAACGTGCCACTGACATGTCACCCTTCCTGTCCCATCTCCCTTCAGTCTCATCTCCTCCTCTTTGGCGTCTCTAGGACATGTCCATTTCTCCCCTCTACATGCCCCAGTAGCATTCGTTTGTCAGCACTGCAAAACTGCTCATTTACATGCATGACCTTTGCTATTTCATAGATGCATGGATCGGAGCTCAGGCTTTGTTAGGAACTAGCCAAGTGACCTCATGCAAGTCCATGTTCATTATCACCATAGACCTGTTTTCTCACCTGGGAAATGATCTCCAGGACACTTCCCACTTTGGACTGTGTATTTCTGAAAGCAGAGGCAGTGATAAAGCCTGGTGGGGTCAGGGTAGGTGTGTGTTTCCCGCCCGCATTGATTTTCCTGCCACAGAGGTGGGTCTTCAGCCTGATGCGCGTCTGCTGTCACCCACCTTCCCGCTGACTCCCACTATTCTTTTTCAGGGCTGGGAGAGGGTTCTGCCCTCCTTCGTCCAGATAGCAGGTCGCATCCTAGATCCTTAGAGAAAAGTGCCTGGAGGGCGTTTAAGGAATCACAGTGTCATCACATGCTCAGACATCTCCACAATGGAGCAAGGATCACTGTGCAGATGCCACCGGCGATCGAAGGCCACTGGGTGTCCACTGGGTAAGAGGGCCAGGGCAGGAGGGACCGGGGAGCACACTTCTGTGGGAGGCCCTTCTTACGGCTTCTCGGACTCAGATGCACATAGACTTTATATAATGTGTGATGATTCAGGTGTTGTCTAACTTCTAAGAGCCAAACAACGCTTTGAAATTCTGGTTGGTAAAGAAACAGAGCTGAGTACTGTAGAAATCGCAGCTAAAGCAGAGATGATATTGCACCACAGGGTGTGAGTGAATAGGTCCTTGTTTACTGAATCTGTGGGACCACTCCTGTATAAAAAGAAACCATTAGCAAGTGAAATTAGGAGTCTGTGTTTCCCCAACCCTGAAACATGACTTGCAAGTTTCTGATGGTCTAAATATTCCAGCCATATTCTGGTAATTTAATATGTGGCTTTAGGGTTCTAAGAGTAAGTTAAAAGGTTCTCAAGCTACCTCTACTAGGCAGGCTGTAGTTCTTGGATTCTTTTCGAGGCTGCGGAGCTGAGTTTTATCCCAGTTTGAGCTCTGGCTTATCTTCCATGAGAGCTTTTAAAAATAGCCTAGTGGCAGACCTGCAGTTTTTCTCCTACCCATTAAATTGTTGAGAATTAACAAGGCTAACTCTGGGATCTGATCACTTCTCCCCTGCAGCCTCTGGGTCCCTTGGGGAGGGATCAAATAAATATGCAGAAGGAAAAGGAATTTTATAAGATGATGAAGACCCAGAGGCTTTTTTCCATAAAAAAATGGAGTTTCTCAAAATAAGTACATGATAAATATTTGCACAATGTTAATGTGATGTCCTTTTTAAATAATTTATTGTTTTATTTAACAAATATTTACTGAGTATACAAATAATAACTGTGTGCCAAGTATTATTCTAGATTTTGTGTTTACAACAGTGAACACAATAAACATGGTCCCTGTCTTCAGGAATTTTACAAATAAACACACAAAGAAGTACTATGATGAGGGGGGAAAAAACAACAGGTGCTACAGGAGACTACCAGGGGCCCTATTTTAGGACAGGGGGGGTCAGAAAAGGTTAGCAAAGAAGAGGACACTTGAGCTAAGATGTGGTTGGCTATGCAAAGACTAGGGGAGGGGCTTTCCATCTGGAAGAACTAGCAAAGCCTGGGTGGAGAAACCCCTGGTGCAGAGCCCTGTGGCTGGGGTGTAGACACCAAGGAGAACAGCTCCAAAAGAGGCTGCCCAGGAGGGCGGGTTCAGCTCCCAGGGCACCTCGAAGCCAGGGCTCCTCTGTGAGTTTAGCTTTTAATCTAAGAGAATGAAAAGTCATGGATATGTTTTCAACAAGGGCCATGCTTCAGACATGATTCAACTCTGGCACTCTGGCTGCCGTGTGGCACTTGGATGGTAGAAAGCATGACTTGGGGATGACCAGTGAAAAGACTTGCAACAGTTCCCGCTAGAGATGAAGGAGGCATAGGTTAAGGATGGCGATGGGGCGGACAGAGAGGTGGATAGACTTGACATGTGCTGAACTCCAGAGGCCAAATCAGCAGATGATCAGTGCTTAAATAAAATATTAAAAGTAAGTGATCTTCTTAGCTCAGCCTCGAGGGATGTTAATCGCAGCTCACATTTAACTTCTCTTTCTATGGGTGAGAAACATACCTAGGTTAAAACCTTCTGAGCCGTTTGTGCTCCTGTTGACCCAGTCCAAGTATTTCTGGCCTAGGAATCTAGCATTTATCTCCTGCTACAGCAAAATACATTTTGTTGTCAACCGCGCAAAACAAAAGGAACTTTTATTACTTTTGTTATGTTAGCTTTATTTTACTAATTGCCTCTTTATTTTTCTAGGTGGGGGGGGGGATTGATTTTGACTGGCTGGAGGGTGGATTTCTGATTGCCTTTAAGTGACGCCTCCCCAAGAGGAGATTTAATTTCAGGACAATGGACATCTAGCCCCTGCCTGCTGTAGACAAGCTCCATGAAGCAGAAGTTGTCGGGAAACCAGGCATTTCTGAACTCGCATAGGGAACTTCTTTTATCAGCCAGAAATATACTATTTTTCCTTCTTCCTACCAGTGAGGGAGACATTTCGCTGTCAGTTAGACCCATGGGTGGAACTGCTGATGGCAGGTTTCTGCTCTCCTGGCTTGTTCACAAAGTGAAACAGAGGCTTTCTGCTGTAGAGCGATTAGACGCATAGCACTGGGGCTGGACTGCTCTGGGCCACCCTGTGGCTCAGATGCTGGCTGGTTATGGGACCCTGGCCCTGCTTCTTAATCACTTGTGCCTCTGTTTCCCCATCTGTAAAATATGGGCAATAATAATACCTACCTAACTCATAGGTTATTGTGAGGATTCTGTGAACTGGTACGTATACAGGACTTAGAATAGTGTAAGCATTTTGTTATTATTACTGTAACACTATAATGAATCTTAACACTATAATCAATCTCCACCTCGTGCCTTTGGGCTTAAATAAAGTCTTTCTTTCTCTTTTCTTCTTCAGCTGTGAGGTGAGGTCGGGCCCAGAGTTCATCACAAGGTCTTACAGATTCTACCACAATAACACCTTCAAGGCCTACCAGTTCTACTATGGCGGCAACCGCTGCACCAGCCCCACCTACACGCTCATCATCCGAGGCAAGATCCGCCTGCGCCAGGCCTCCTGGATCATCCGCGGGGGCACGGAGGCCGACTACCAGCTGCACAGCGTGCAGGTCATCTCCCACACGGAGGCGGTGGCCGAGAGGCTCAGCCAGCTGGTGAACCGCACGTGCCCTGGCTTCGTCCCCGCCGGAGGTGCCTGGGTGCAGGACGTGCCCTACGACCTGCTGCAGGAGGAGGACGGCTGCGAGTGCACCAGGGCCGTGAACTTCGCCATGCACGAGCTGCAGCTCCTCCGGGTGGAGAAGCAGTACCTGCAGCACCACCTGGACCGCCTGGTGGAGGAGCTCTTCCTTGGCGACATCCACACCGATGCAGCCCAGAGAACGTTCTACCGGCCGTCCAGCTACCAGCCCCCCCTGCAGAACGCGAAGGTACCCCGATGCTGACTACCTCAGGGCCCTTCAGTGAAGTAAAATGAGGGACCTAAAGGCATGTTGTGTCCCTGGGGTCGGAGGGACCCCATGACAGAGAGAGAGAGAGAGCTGAGTCATGAGGGAGGTAATGGCGGGAGGTGAGAGGAGTCTCAGAGGACTTCTGGGACAGGGACCCATAGCCAGTGTCAGGAGACCTGGGTCAGCCACCAATGTGCTCTGTGATCTGGGGCCTCGGTTTTCGTATTTGATGTGGGTGGTGGTTCTAGGGTTGGTGGTGTGGTAGGGTCTTGGGTGGTTGTCCTAGAAAACTCCCGAGGCTCCTCTCAACTCAAATACTCTAGGAAATGTCCTCTTGGGATGGGTGGTTAATAAAGGAAAGCATGATGGGAACATGGGAAAGACAGAGGAGCACAGCACTGAGCCCAGCCCTGGGGGCGGCAGGAGGCTCCTGGGAGCAGCTTCAGTGCTGTTTGCGTTGGGCTGTAGACCCCATGAAGATCTCTGCCCACATGACTGCTTTCAGACTTCACCGCGACCCTCTGAGGCAGACCTTAGCACCCTCATAGGCAGAAGAGGCAGCTAAGGTTCAAGGGTTTGGCCTCCTGTCCTAGGTCACCCAGTTAGTTTCAGGGGAACTTGAACCCAAACCTCTTTCTCCAGACCCCACCCTTGACTAAATTATAGATAAAGTTACTGGCATCAAAAGGGAGGATGGGGGTCGGGGTAGGGGCAGGAAACGATGAAAACCTTACAATGTTCCTTTCTTGAATGATAGTCCAATAATTATATATGGAATTCACAGAGCACTTTCTTCCCAGGGGCTCAGAATTCGTAGAACTCGAGTGTTTCCACTGCAGAAGTTGGGGATGCTCCAGGCAGGGAAGGCGTGCGGGGCTCTGATCACGGAGGGCCAGGGCGGCAGGCAGTTTTCTCTAGATCAGCAATTCTAATTGCAGGGTCTTCTTTGACTTATGTTTGGCAGTTTATTCATTTTTTAAAAAACTCTTTTTTTCTTCGTAGTCCTTTGAGCTCATTCATGACTAGTGGAGAGATCACAGAATCCTTCCCCTGCCAAAACCACTCAGTGTTGTCTTTTTAGCTGTGCTGTTGTGAGCTCCTGTGCTGGAAGTCACCCTTATCATAATGGTGGGAAATCTGAGGAAGCCCAGTTGGCGGAGGCTGCTTCCTCTGGCCGCTGGTCAGGGCTGGTTTTGTGTGTGAGGTGAGGCCAACTGGGGCCTGGGGGCTTCAGACCCAGTGCTCCCTGGGCTCTGCACCCCCAGGGAGCGCACCAGCATGGCTCAGGATGCCTCGGGGTGGTTCCAGTGGAGAGCAGGAGCCAGGTCCACGAAGTGCCAGAGGCACTGAGGCAGAAAAGGTGAGTTAGGGCAGCGAGCAAGAAGGCACCGTCATGCCCACTTCCAGACATCCTCTTGGGATGGGCGAGGTGAGGGAGGGTTCCACCCACTGGTGCAAAGGCACAGGAGGAGAATCTCCCACAGAGTGGCACCTGGGTGAGGGCCTGGTTCGGGGGAAAACGGAGGAGGAATGAGCTTCCAGTCCCATCATGGGACCTTTCTAGTTGGTAGCATTATCCAGAGTCTGTGCAGCTAAATAGCACTTTTGTTGAAATCTTTGGTGTGTGACAGCAGCCGGGAAAGGGGATTTTCATACATAAATTTGTCTTCCTCTGCGTACAGTCTAGCTGACTTTTAAATTATCTCTGGTGATGGGAGGTAAGAACGTCATGAATAAAAATGGTCCACAGATAATTCAGAAAACTGTGAGCCAAGAACACCAGCCCCTGCCTCTCCCTGAACCTTTAGGGAGATCAGCTAATCCAGCAGAGTCCTTTTCATTCTTGCACACCCTGCAGGGGAGACACTGTGAGCAGCAAAACAGCCACAACTCAGGGACAGTGAGGCAAGGGGCTGAGGAAGGAGGAAGGAGGCTGAGTTGCTCAAGGAGCTAGGGTATAGCCCAGAGCTGCCTGAGTGGATTCAGGACCTCTGTCTCCAACTCTGTACCTGACCTTGGGCTGGTCATTTGCACACACTCAGGTTACCATTCCATTTTCTCACCTGCAGATGCCTACATAGGCTCTTTGATCTCTTAAGTTCTTTTTAGGACTCCAAGAAAAGAAGTATTAATATAACTTTTGTATTCTTACCCCTCTTTCTTCTCCCTCAAACTTACTATAGCCTTTCTGTTGGCATGGCTCTTTCCAAAACCTAAAAGGTAAAAATCAGTATTCCTAAGACTTGTAGCTGCAGATGATTCTCTCTCACTCCCTGCCCTGGTTCTGGAGGCAGGGGTTCTCCGGGTTGGCATCTCACTAAATAGAGCCTGGTTGTTGGAAAAGCAAAGGCATATGGTTGTGGCTCTGGGAGGAAAAGTGTCCTGAAAGTAAGTTACTGACATTGGCATGAAGAATTAAGATGAGAGTTGTAAGGCTGACCATCTCAGAATTTTTATAAACAAAAAATGTTGAGGAGGTTTTTTTGTGTGTTTTGTTTTGTTCCCTCATTCAAGAAATATTAAGGGTGGAAAGAACTTTGGATCTTCAATATTATCCAAGATGTACTGCTAAGTAAAAAAGAAAAAAAAGGTACAGAATAGCATGAAAAGTATTATACCATTGCTCACCTGGTGTGGCTTAGTGGCTTAGCATCGACCTATGAACCAGGAGGTCACAGTTCCATTCCCGGTCAGGGCACATGCCCGAGTGGCGGGCTTGATCCGCAGTATGGGGTGTGCAGGAGGCAGCCTATCAATGATTCTCTCCCGTCACTGATGTTTCTATCTCTCTCTCTCCCTCTCCCTTCCTCTCTGAAAGCAATAAAAAAAATATTTTTTTAAAAATATATGATACCACTGTGTAAAACTAATCACAAAAGAAGATAAGCTTCCAAAGGAATTCATGTTCTGGAAGGGTACCTTGGAAGGGTAAAAATTGCTTCTGAGGAAGGAGAGTGAATAGCTGGGACAATCAGAGACTTGCCACTGTGTGCCCTTTTATACCTTTTAAAATTTGTGCCTTGATCTTAAATGGCCTAAATACAATTACCACACAAAATCAAAATACATTTAAAAAAGTTAGGACTCCAAGGCTCAGAGTGCTGTGGCCACAAATGACGATGGCGGCAGGGCTGGGAGGAGGATGCGGGCAGGCGTCCAGGGCCCAGCGTGTGCTCTCCACCGCCCGGACTGCCAGCTGGGGGAGGGGTCCCTCGAAGACCAGGCCCAGAGGCCCTTGTGGCTCTGGGAGCTGAAAGGGCTCCTTCTTCTCTTGTTGTCCCTGGCATTGTACGTCTTGGCCTGCAGCGTGCAGCAGAGTCTTCAGGAAGTTTTTAGATCCTTCCCCAGGACAGCTTTGAGAAGGAATCAATGGACTTGGCCCTTGGTGCCTATCCAGACACCAAATGCAACGCCCCAGGTGCTCCCTGCCCGCTGGGTCTGCGGGAAGGAGCGGAGGCGCATCCGGAAAGACCACACGCACCCCCCCTCTTTGAACTCCTTGCCTTCCCTAATTGCTGGTCCATGGAGACCTGGCTGAAATTAGTTTAAATGCTAAATTGAGTTTGAAACCACTAGTCTCAGCCCCTCTGGAAACGGGACACCACGTAAAAATAGAAACTTTAAATCAGCTTGTTTTTCTAAGCTTTATACAGCTTTGCTGTGAGGTTCAGAGTCCTTTGGCAAATAGATGATGTTTGAAGAAAATCAGGTGTGGGGGGAGGATTCTTTCAGGATGAAATTGCTACTCTTCATCTGAAAAAGTCAAGGCCACCTAAAATAACCCTGAGCAAAGATGCTCTGCCTGAACTGAGTTTAACATCCAAGCAGCCTCTACCTAGAATCTTGTGCAGTTGAAGGGTTAGGGAGGTGCATTTTGCCCCGTGGTAGAATCAAAGAGTAATTAAAAACAAGTGATAGCTGCGGTCGCTGGCAATGCCAAGCCTCGGTATCAGACTTGTTAGCAAATGGAATTGGTCTTTCTCCAAAATCCTGCATGACTTAGGCTCAGGGTCGTAAATCAAAGGGTTTGTCAGAAAACCAGACAACTTCCCCAAGCTATGTACCTTAAATAATTTGCCCCAGCACGCTCACAGCAGTGGGACTGCACGCTGGAGGGAGAAAGCACCCAATGTTTTCAGGAGTAGCTGGGCACTATGAATGAAGAAGGCATTCCTTGTGCACTTCCTTGAATTCTAGAGAAACCTCTAGAGCAGTGGCTCTCCACCTCCTGGCCCTTTAAATACAATTCCTCACGTTGTGACCCAACCATAAAATTATTTTCGTTGCTACTTCATAACTGTAATGTTGCCACTGTTATGAATCGTCATGTAAATATCTGACATGCAGGATGGTCTTAGGCGACCCCTGTGAAAGGGTCGTTCGACCGCCAAAGGGGTCGCGACCCACAGGTTGAGAACCGCTGCTCTAGACTGTGAACGAACAAGCTTCTGTTTCTGAGGCATCTTGCCTTTCGAAGTCTTTTCAGAGTGTGTGAAAAATACAGAGGAATGCGAGACTTTCTGATATCTGTGACATCAGAGGGACTTTGGATCAGGTGGCCAGGGGCAGCGGACTTCTCAGCCCAGCTCCAAGAGACTGGTCTGCAGCAGAAAGGGGGCTCTCCCTCGGCATGTGCTTGGTGTGGCTCCAGGTGGGAGGGTAAGAGCAGAAGGTGCCAGATGCTCACAGGAGAATTTGCGTCCCTTCTCTTTCTGCCAGTGTGGGGGAAAGGAGAGGGGTTTCAGAGGGGTTGGGGGGTGGGAGAGGTGGTAGATGACAAGACCAGGAGGTTTAGGGTGTCAGACCTACAAGGGTTTCAGAGTCATCCTTAATGTAGGAGGGGCTGGGTGTTTTAACTATAAGGCAGCCAGTGTTGCATGTTATATGAAATTGAGGTTGAATGATGGGGTCTTGACTCTGAAGGGCTTGCTCGTGTGGACATGTTATGTGGGCCAGCTATGACGTGGCACATGATTGTT